TTTGGTCAATATACAGGGTAAACCTCGTAATTTTGCATGTAATTTACTCTACTATAATATTTGCCATCTGCAAAGTTTTAACTCAGTTATTGGATGTGTTTTAAAGAAAGACATCAAATCAAATTTGCAATAATCACTAATTAAACTAATCACCAACGGGGCCCAGAAAGTTATCAGTATGTGATCAAGGTCTACTCAGGATTTTGGAGATTTAACCAATTGTGAAAACTTTTAACTACAGTTCAACAGAAAGGAAACTTAATTCCAACATCTTTATCAATGATAAGAACACTTTTTTTTTAGCTCGGATCAACATGATCTAGATATATCCAGTCAAAGGAAAATAACACTCTTTATATGTTTAGATAACCAGCATCAACACAAGTTCATGGAGGATACAAAATATATTTCCAGCATTCTTAACAATGTTCTTGACTTATTTTTACCATGACTACACATACATGAAGCTGTACTCTAAAAACAGTAAAAAAGTTAGTGCAAAATATTACCAGAGTTTCCCAGGACACTATCTTTATATACAGAGTGGCCTTTTAATTAGCACCAGCCAAACTACATGTACTGTACATAATACCCTTAGTAAACAAATAAATAATGAAACACAGTATAAAAGAAAACAATCAAGATTCATTAACTTTTTATTGATGAACTGATACATTCATGCGATGATATTTGGATATATAAACACATGAAGACTAGATTAAGTTGTCAGTATGGATAATTGAGCATTTGTACCTGGCTGTCAGTCCAGTATGGATAGTTGATCATTTGTACCTGGCTGTCAGTCCAGTATGGATAGTTGTGGGACAAGAGTATATACATACTCTTGCAACATTCTTCAAATGATAATTAACAAAAACAAAATATAATATATATTAGCATCACAATCTTCATCTGCTAAACTTCGGTAATATCATGTTAAAGATGAATAATAACCTAGGGTTACAGAATGCATGGCAAGAAAAGAATACTTTATTGTCGTAATAATAACCTAGGGTTACAGAATGCATGGCAAGAAAAGAATATTTTATTGTCGTAATAATAATGAGTCTTAAGGAAGTATGCTAGCTAACTTACAAATTGTGATGTTTCCCATTGAATAAAAAAAAAAAATGCACAATAATTAACAGAATTATTGAAATGTTATAGTTACATGCATTCAACTGTGCTACATATATAAAAGTCAAATTCTCATCCATATGGCAATTCATAAAATTTATGTTACATGATTCTCAGTGTGAAACCCTTTCAGAAATCCAAAAGGAGAAAGATAAAGGTCATAATAAGTTAGCATACATCCATAAGTCTCAATGTCACAGTAAGGTAGCATACATCCTTAAGTCTCAATGTCACAGTAAGGTAACATACACCCTTAAGTTTCCATGTCACAGTTAGGTAGTATACACCCTTAAAGTCTCCATGTCACAGCAAAGTAGCATACATCCATAAGTCTCAATGTCACAGTAAGGTAGCACTAAGCCTTCTAAAAGCATGTACAACTTAAGTTTGTAACATACGTTTAGCCTTAGAAATATACAACATAAAGCCATGTGACATCATATTTATTAATCTAACAAGTCCTTTTCTAGTGCTGTACAACAGAATTACCCAATCTCAGAGTCAAATGGGACCAGACAAAAACAAGCTGACATTCAAGTGTTTGGGATAATTACATTGATGAGTTGTTTTAAGTACAGACCAATATGTCAAATGTAACATGTTCCTGCAGTTACCTGACCATAAAGAGTTTATCACGTTTTTACCAAATTTAACTGTGATGTCAAAAAATTTGAATTTAAATAATATTATTTTTGTTTAAATATGTGTTCCATGGCTGCATCGATCAGTTAAATGAATATTTCATTTCACTTCCTGAATAATCAGAATAATTTTAGGACCTAACATTTAATTATGATAAAAAGTATGTTATCATATTAGATATCAAGGATGGTTAAAGAAAGAGAAAATTGGACAGAGAAATTATATGTAGGTGTATGTGGCATTTGAAATTAGCAATGAGCTTGAGCTAACAAAATTAAACTGTATATCCTAAATCACCAAAGCCCAAAGCTGCTCTAGAGTGGATCTCAACTCTTCATTCCAGAAGGACATACTGTACTTGGTAGACTGATGCTTATAAATACAGTGAAAACTTGCTAACAAAACCATTCGGCTTTCTGGAAAAGAAATATTTTAGATAATGAAACCCCAAGACCTCTAAAAAGGGAAACAGTTCTACTGTATTCTGGCCATCAATATCCAGTGGAATTTTATGACTGATTTCTATAGGATACTCTGTATAACAGCTATAGGAGACACACAAAAGAGGCAATAATTATTATTATGTAGTTAATTTGGCAAAGTTTGTCTCTCTATAATGAAAACTAAACAGTTCTAACTATAGTCAATTGTCATTAAGTCAATAACAAAGAAAATCAGATACTTGAATAAAATCAGATATGAAAGTGTACATATAGCAATGATTTAGTTAACGTTTATGTCATAAAGATATATGCATTTTATATCCGATAATGATAATATACAAATAAATACTTATTCAATGTATATCTTAGTAATGCGTATTATTTCTTAATAAAGCAATTGTATGATATATTACATTTTTATGCAGCAATAAAACAGCTATTCTTCAAACTTGATGCTCATATATTGCAAATCTTATGATTGGACAAAGCTGACAGGTATATCACAAACTCCCATTTCATTGAACGAGAGAAGTAGGTAATGGATGGAACGGACAAAAGCACTCGGTCACTTGTATATCATACACATTGTAAATGCTATTTCCGTATCTACATCGAAATGCTGTATACTAATATAAATAGGAAATGAACTAAATCTCCAAGATTATTATATATCATTGATAACAAAATTAATAAAACATTTATTTAGAACTTATTGTTGCCAGCTCCTATCGTGTTCTCCCTTACCAGTTATTACAACATTTTGATAACATTATCTTATAAAAATTAAGACTTACTCATTATGTTTTATTTTGTACCTTTAACGCTTTCACCACTGAAGACCATAATGGACTCATCCATATCAATGCATAGTAGAGTCTATTAAAGTTACATAGGGGTGAAAGGGTTAAAAGCTCTTCAACATCAGAACAAATTACTATTTGAAAATTAAAATTTTACACATTTCATTTAAAGATAGCCTAAACACTCGATATGTTCATAAATGCTCATAACTCGGAGACACAATCAATATTATGCTCCGGCATAGTACATGTTTCATACTTTAAACAAGACACCCATCTCTATTTCCATAGCTCCATCAATGTAGAATCAAAGTTTCACCGAAGCCATTGTCTAGTATTGGCTCAAACATTATCATGAGATTCTGTCAGCCACACATATTGCCATTAAATGCTGAGTAATGCTACGGACATCACACTTAAGATCTAGCTTCAATGAAAAACTCACAATGAAAGACAATGGATGTAAAAGCACACATGAATTATGGCCATACAAATCATCAATACATTTGTAACATGTTGAAATATCTGTACTAGGTATACATGCAATGAATAAGAGCTTTATTAATTCTGTAATATATATATGGACATTTGGCTAAATCTTTCCACTTAATATAATAACAATGAAAATTAATTCTGTAATGAATAATTTTCATTTTCCTCCCATTGCTATCACTAACATATTCTTGGATAACCATTATTATTGTGACAAGGTATTGTCTTCATTCTTATGGCAAAATATGAGGAAATAAAATTCCAATCTTAAACTAAATCAATAAACAAATCTATATATGTAATACAATGTACATTACACAATTTCTGATTTCTTCCACACTAAGCTATCTGTTATAGCTACAACCAACTTCATCTGAAAGGAAATCTGTATAATTTTACTAATAACTAATATCTTAAAGATACTTGGCGCTTGATATTCTTATAGTTCATGTACGTGTCAAATGTAGCTTTAAATGAGTAAAACAAAAGAATTCAGCCTCCGAAAAAAGTGGAACTTTAAGTAAATGACAGTCACATACGCAACTACTAATGCACTGATAATTTTATCAAATTTAATCAATATCCACCTTGACAAGATAAGTAACAGTATTTGGAGAAAAAAAAGAAAAATATATAGCGCCATAATGCCAATTTAAATAGTCATAACAAACTTAAGGTACTGATCCTGCCTACCAAGTTCCATAAATATCTGTAAAGAATTTTGGTACGTAGCAAAAATTCAAAGCTTTTAAAATGTTTTATGGAATTAAGATATGGGCTAATAATAAAACAACTGTCAAAATAATCAAAATCGAAAATAAATGGAACTGCACAACTTCATAAATTGTTGATCATGTGTCATAAATGAAGGATGAAAAGATATAAGTGGAAGTAATTTGGACAAAAATGTACACAAGGATATCATTAAAGGGACATAACTCCCAAGAAACAAGAGTACCTCAGGGCGGAACAATATACGCCTGTCGAATGCCATATAGTGTTATATATATACTTTCTTACATTGAAATAGGATCTGTATCATTCAATACTGAAATAAACAAAGGGCAAGAACTTTTGCAAACATTGTCGAATCAAAATTCTTTTAAGGAAGACACAACTTCATATCATGATTATAATGTATACCAAGTTTCATAGAGATCATTTGAAAAATATAGGAAGAGATTGCCGGACAAAAATCAAATACTTAAATAAACAAAGGGCAATAACTTTTGCAAAAATTGTTGAATCAAAATTCTTTTCAAGGAAACAACATTTCATGATTATTTAGCCTACTAAGTTTCAAAGAAATCCGTCAAATAATGTAGGATGATCTCTGCACAAAATTCAAATACTGAAATGAACAAAGGGTAATAACTTTTGGAAAAATTGTCAAATCAAATTTTTTTTTTAAGGGAGACACAACTTCATATCATGATTATAATGTATGCCTGGTTTTAAAGAGATCGGTCGAAAAATGTGGGAGGAGATTGCCGGACAAACAAAAGTTTATGCCGGACGGCCGGACAACCCCATACCATAATACTTCCGTCAAATTTGACGAGCGATAAAAATCCTAGAAATCAAAATTAAGTGCAATCAATCAAGTATGTATATAACAAGTCTATTAAAATTGGTGGAGGATATATGAAGTGGTATTCTGGTCGAACGCCTGTCCACAGACAGAAAGACAGACAGATTGACACCCTGTTTCCAGTATACCCCACTCCCCCCAAACTTAATTGTTCGTGCCCCTTATCTTTCTTAAAATAGAAATAAAAAAAAACTATTGAGAAACTCCAAGAGGTTCTATGCAATATATGATAACATTGTGTAGGAAAACAGATTTTTTGGTGTTTTGATTTTACTCTTTTCAAGAACTATCATTATAATATCAAGTGGCTGGTATTGCTCCAAGGTTTCTGTTTATTTATAAATAAATTATAGTATGTGCCTGCACAGTACCACATACTGTGAGAAATAAATTATAAAACAAACTAATTTCTCTAAAGCTTAATAAAAACAATTATATATACAATGTATATACAAACATATTATATGCAATTTCATTCAATGTATTGGGTAATACAAGTTTTTCAGGAGGAATAGTATGCATCATATAATCATATAATTTAACTAATTTAAAAAAAAATGTTCCTGTCATGAATATGAAATGATTGTCATATGGACTCTTAACATAAACCTGTTTCCAATATTAAAATGTCCCAGGAGACGATGACGTACGAGTGGGTTGGTGGGTAGTGGATATGATTAGCAATGTCTTACATGTGTTGCTGCTGTCTAAAAATGCATTTTACACAAAATTTTATGTTCATGTTGAATGATACACAACCTTTAAGAGGATAAACTTGGTCTCAAATACAGTGACACTATTTTTCAAATGCCACTTTAAGCATTTCTTAAATTGGACCGGCAATGCCCTAAAATCAACAAGATGGCCATGGGCTTTAACGGTCACCTGAGTTGTAATACAGTTGTTTTTTTGTTGTTGTGATACATAGAAAAATAGTATATATAAAACAAACATGACTTTTTCTTATTGTTGATTCACTAGAAAAAAATGATTTTGAGGATTAACCAACAAAGATCATACACCGTATTCGCCCTAATTGGTTCCCAGGACACAACAAATTTAGCTTTAAAGAGGGCACTTATTAGGATAATAGAATATGAGTTATGATATAACAAATTGTGAAACTTCAATTGATTCTTCAGTGTAACAGGAGAGTTTAACCACTCCAGTGTGACTGAAGGTTTGGATATCAAATCTTTCATCCGCTTCATGGGAAGTTCAGCCATGATTACCAGACTTAAATCCCTGCTTCATTGACTGGGGTCAGGATTGAGAAGGGAAGATGGTCCATATAATTTCAATTCCTCACGAAAAAGGGGGAGGGGCGCTGATTATGTCAAATACGGTAGCTGATAACTGTCAGAAAACAAGCTTATATAATTACGGCACAGCAAGTCTTCACCAGTTTACCTGTTGTGTAGAATATTGATTATCGTGGAGTTATAGCATGCCCCAATTTATCCTGTTCAATCTACAGGTATTCCACCTCCTCCTTTCTAGGTTCTAATTTGCATACTGTAAAACTTAAATCACATGATTATAATTTGAATCAAGTCATCAGTTCAGAGGTTTTGAATAATAAGTCCAAAATATGAATTGCTTATGGATGCACAACGACGGATAAAAGGTAATTGCAAAAGGTCAGACAAAACTTTGTCTTAACCCACCTATGAAAATTAACAAATATCTCTAAACATGCTAATAATAATACTGTTGTAGTTAAAACACTAACAGAATCAATAACTGACTCCTTATCTCCTACTGGGGTTCTAGGGTAATGAAGCCTTGATTAGCATGAAAAGAAAAGTTAATGTAAGAAATACAACTACAGGTACTCCCACAAACAATATCACTCTAGCCACCATTTTATTTGTCTTTGGGGGGAAAACTCAAAATTCCATCTTTATTTTACATGCTTATTTCATATGGGTAATAAATCTGGGCAAGGAATTTTATTAATTAAATTTTGCTAATATTAAGGAAAATTTGGCAAATTATGAATAAAGTAACACTAATAACAATATATCCTGACCAACCCATTAGATATAGCCTGACCAGCCCATTGAATATATTCTAACCAACCCATCAAATATATCCTGACCAACCCATTCAATATATCCTGACCCACCCATTAAATATATCCTGACCAACCCATTAAATATATCCTGACTAGCCCATTAGATATAGCCTGGCCAGCCCATTAAATATATCCTGACCAACCGATCAAATATATCCTGACCCACCCATTAAATATATCCTGACCAACCCATTAAATATATCCTGACTAGCCCATTAAATATATCCTGCCCAACCCATTAAATATATCCTCACCAAACCATTAAACGAAACATTTTGACTGAATATTACTTAACACCATTACAGCTAGTGAATTCTACAGAACGGTTTACACAAACTTCTTGTTTGTCAATACAATACTCTCACACATACTTCAATTTTGTATGAAGTACAAAAATAAAGATAACCATTTTTCCAGAAGATGTTATTTTTCCATGTAAACAATTTAAATCAAGTCCCCTGATGTAGCTTTGTGGGAGCATCACTAGCTAGCTACATAGGGAACTATGTTGTCATCAGAATTGTTTGCAGTTTTTACAATGTATAGCCAGAACATTTACTATTACTACATGTACATTGGGAGAAAAAGATTCAATCAACCTGAAGCTGTTCAATTTCTAGTTGTCTCTAGCTGTTGACGTCCCTTTTCAGTATAAATGCATCCTCTGTAGTTCCAATAGCCCACCTGTACTCCTATTAGGATTTTTACTGACTGATGTGTGTTTGCATTTAGAAACAGGTGTTGTAGATAAGATCATCTTATCCCTCAGGAGGGAGTAAAATTCTTTTCAGTGCAGAAATAAATACCCCACCATTTAATATATTGACCCTGTACAATAGCCTTCAGTAGTTGTATTTTTTACTTACCTGGTATGCACTTTATATTGTATCAAAATATACCTTATATGTTCAATTTGCAAGGTTGTATACAGTGTAGTCTGTATATTAATCATTCCCCCCTCAACCCCACAAAAAAAAAATAAAAAAAAATGAAACAATTCTTTATATTACCCTCCCTAACCAATGTTTACTATATCCATTCACAACTAAATCTATATACCAGTACATACCTTCAATGCTTTGGTTTTTACCAGATGACAGCACTGTAACTGTCAGTGGTACATTAAACCAAGATACATTAAACCAGACATGTATAGTCTTATACTTAGAGTCTGTTAGTCCAGCTTTTCTTTCTAAAACAACAGTGATATCTAATCTCGAGAAAACACTGTTTTAAATAAAGAGCATAAACAATAACTGTCTTTCAATAGAACCATCCAGGAAGAAAACAATTTTCTGCGTCAATGCATACCAGTTTTTTATAAGCTGTTTAGAGTGTTCCCTATAACAAGGTCCTATGTCTCTGATTATCATGACGGTCAGGTGGTACAGTTGTTCACTGTTTAAGCCTGACATAACAATCACATTCCCCACTGTGTTAAAATAAAGTAATACTGGGTTATTATAACTTCCCATGCACTGGAGTATTTTGTGGGTATGACGCCATATTACCAGAAGTAACAGCTTGTTTAATATATAGTTGGGTCAAAAATATATTTGACCTTCTTAAACTATGTATGAGTCAAAAGTGTATAAAATTATGTACCAAAACTTTAACAGTTTTCAGCAAGTCCTTGAAAGAGTACTGACTCAACGTTTCTTAAGAAATATTGAGATTGTTAAAAAAAACATTACACTGCAGGCAAATATATTCATTTTGGTATTGACGTACAAAATACTGTATACTGAATGATCTGGGATGATCAAACGAGTTTCAGTTTTAACATTTGTAGTATTTTCTTCTTAAATTATTCAGATATATTTCTGCATACAAACTATATTTAATGTAAAGAACTAATTTATGAAATTTCTAACTATTGGCAAGAATTGTCAGAATCTTAATTACTGCCTCATAATACCACATCAACCCATCTTAATTCACCGTGGTAAATTTACAAGTTATTGTTGTGTTTAGGATTATGCTCAGAAAGTTCAACATCAGAGCATATATCCTACCATACATAAGCATACTCAGTCGTCTGACTTCCAGCAATGAGATTGAAGTTGTCTGCCATTCCAACAACTCTTCACTTCCTGTAAGAGGTCATCTGTTCCCGGTTACCCACCGATCAGACCAGCTCGTTCGGCCCGTCAGTTAAGTGTAGAAGATGATCTCCGGAATCTGACCATCTTCCACCGAAGTTCCGTTGTTGTTACCGGCTGCGTAGGTAAACTGGAAGGTGACCTTTCCACTAGACACAGACTCGTGGGTCACCTTCCTGAGGCCTTTAGCACCGTAGTAAGAATCTGGCCCCTACAAAACATGAAAATCGCTTCATTGCAAGTACCTGCATCAACTCTCTTCAAAATGTAAAACTTGAAACATTAAAAAGTTCGGAAGAACATTCATCCAGCTCTTAGATTTTAAAAGCACAGATTATTGAAGTCATTACAACTCACCCTTTCCTTTCCTTGATTGGTAGCTATATATAGAGGATCTAGCACGAGTGTTCATGTTATATTGAATTTATTGAACGAGTATATTAATTTCATATGAAATTAATATACGAGTTCAATAAATTCAATATAACATGAACACGAGTGTTAGATTCTATTTATTATATAATTCGAGAAACCTACCTACATAAGTGGTTTCAATACTAACGTCTCTATATGCAATGACGACGAGAAAGGACGCATCACATATACTAATTTGAGAGCATGTTCCGCTAACAAAAGTAGTCCGCAGAATTTTATCAGAATAATAAATGGCCAACAGTTTTACTTTTAACGATCATTTTAATTGTGATAACAATTGAAATAATAAAAGTTTACAAAATATGACTTCTTTTTTTTCGCTTCGGAAAAAAACTGTTTTTTTTCATCGGTGACGTCATGAACAGTGTAAGAGCGCGCGCACTGTGAAGGTCGTCGGAAACCGAAAACACATGTGTTGGATATTAGGCCTACTGAGAATCACTGTCACTTTCTATAACACGGGCGCGTTTTTTCAGAGGAGGTCCTTGGTAAACATGAACTTGTATGTTTCCTCCTGTGACAGCACCTGAAAAGATACTTTGGAAACCGCCCTGGACCCTGACAACAGAGGAAGTTGACTGGTTACACGCCATTGATTGTTGTGTCAGTGATGTTGTGTTGCATCCGGTCTCAGGTGCTGTTGGATTTCCGTGCAGTATTTTGGAGATTTCTTTGTGTTGATTCGTGTTGATGTGTGAATAATTATTAATAGAAGAAATGTTTCGGTGACCAGAAATTTGCATTATATGGTTAGCGGGGATGTTATTATCGTTCAATTTCTGGACAAGATATTTCCTCGCACTGTGATTTGACAAGTGTTTGTCAGTTTGGATTCCTGCTCCCTTTATGGCACGTTGCATCATGGATTTTAGCTTGTTGATACCAACGGGTTGGCGCTTGAACCAAGTCTCATGACTTCCAGGTGAGCTTTTTGTTGTAGTAGCTATATAAAATGGATCTTGTAGTAGGCCTATACTATAGTAGTAGTAGTAGTAGTAGTGCGTAGGAATACGACCTAGTTCCCACGGTGTCGCGCGCTCATTTGCATCTTTATTGCACACGTTCAATATCAATTTTATTGCACCCCTTTATTGCATTGCAGAAGCCTTATATTATATAATAAATATAGTTATGAACTACTATAATTACAGAGATTTATGTTTTCATAAGAAATGTCAATAAATGAGATTCTGCATTATTATTCATTTCATATAAATCAATTGCAAGGGAACAGTGATTTAGATTAATGGGCAACATTGACCTTTAAAAATTCTTGTAAAATTCTACTAAACTAAACAATTAAGACAATCAATACCTTAAATTTAACCAATGACCCAAAGTTTGTAGTTCTTATGTATATTACCATATATTAATGTACATTTTAACACACATTCTGTGATTCTTACCTTCAAAGTACCACATGCAGTGTAACTAGTGTTGGGTAAAATCTCCACGGGTTCCTTGAACATGACACGAAAGGTGGAGTTTGATCCGTCACATTGGAAGCTGGAGTCATTCTGTCCCATCACTTTGCCAGTATCCGACTGGATTATCTGCAAGATTAAAGTTGGGACTAACTATTATATATATAATATATATATATACAATTCAACATTCCATTAATATATACTACATGTATATTAAATTAAAGTGGAGGGGGACTTAATCAAAATGTACTCAAGTGTTACCAGTACGAGTGCTGAGTGCTGGTGATGCTTGCAGTAGGTTGTAATTAAGTCCCCCTCTACTGGAATTTAATTCCTCCTTTAATCGCTCGGCATACTTGGTATCCATACTCACAGCGAAGCATCCGACTCATCCACCCTAATACCTTTACTCGACATTCACTCTTAGCCTCAATGGAGTTAGATAATACATAAATTGCTATTGTATTATTTCATATTGATCCAACATCACTGATATTACAACTTTACGGTATGGATGATCATGAATACACCAGTGGGTGTGTATACATTATCTCAATGCAAGACTCTTATACTGTAGACCAATATACAATATTTGGTGACTGTTATTAATATTCTGTCTGTTAGTTGTTATTTTTACAACATGAACAACTACAGTGTATAAGTACATGATATTTAGTGTGGTCATAGATCAAAACAGTGGTATATATATCCAAGATGGCGGACATTTGTGAACAGGGGGTTGCTCACAATTAAGCCCCCTCCCTACTTTTGGTCTATGTTTTTTCACTAGGGGTGGGGGCTTATTTGCGGTCAAGTACGGTATCTATGTTATAAAGATCTAAGAAAAAACATTGAACACTACACATGTACATTACATGTACCATAAATGATCAATAGCTACGTATACATGACTTTGTATATATGTATTTCTTGTTATAAGAGCCTTAAGAGGCTTGAAATTTTATGGGTTTTTTTAAACATGACTTGGTTACCATTTGTACACCACTGTTATATATACCTGTATGTTAACTGCATACTCATGAGGTCCATGTATACTCCCATACAGACAGAACCCAACCACAAATATCCTCCTATTCACCATAAATCTGGAACATAAACATGCATGGAGATCATAATACTATCAAACATTTACATTTTTACAATCATTATCATATAATAAAGACAGACAAATCTCTGTATTTCCTTCTATTTATTCCGTCTTTGCGTATTGCAGAGTTATCTTCTCTTGAGAGCAGGTATTGATTGTTTTGTTATTTGTTAGTGAGAGTAACGCCATAATTTTTTGAGAAAACGACGTAATTTTCTCACACAAACCAATGACGTAACAATCAATACCTGCTCTCAAGAGAAGATAACTCTGCAATACGCAAAGACGGAATAGCATGCTCATGATCAGTAGCATTGTACATTGCATACAATTTAGAACTGTATAATACATTTAGGAAGGAAGTATTTTATTCCATACTCTATACAGCATCTCCACACCTAATCTGCCTATGTGAGCTTTTCCTGGAACGAAACTTAATACTACAAAACTACTTAATTATATATACTATATATACATTGCTTATACATTTTGTATAATGGCAAACAATGACTAAATAAAATACTTCCTACCTAAATGTATTATAACTACCGTATTCTGTAATTACTGGTATTATATATGGAGATACACATGTAAACATATACAATGCATGGACTGTTGTCTCCAGCACCTCTACACCTAATCTGCTTAGCTATGTGTTCCTGATTCTGTCATTGATTGATACCATCATACAGTAGATATATAATTACCAGTATATCTACATGTATACCTACCAGATTCTGTCATTAATTGATACCATATATATATTACCAGTATATCTACATGTATATCTACCAGGTTCTGTCATTAATTATAACAAATTGATACCATATATATATTAACAGTATATCTAGATGTATACCTGCCAGATTCTGTCATTAATTGATATCATATATATATTAACAGTATATCTAGATGTATACCTACCAGATTCTGTCATTAATTGATACCATATATATTACCAGTATATCTACATGTTTACCTACCAGATTCTGTCATTAATTAATACCATATATATATTACCAGTATATCTACATGTATACCTACNTGGTAGGTATACATGTAGATATACTGCATAAACTTCCTATTGTAATCAAGACTGCCACTGCCAGCAATCTTTATGAATTTAATGTAAAATGTCACGAACGATTGTTAACAACTTAAAAACAAGTATCTGTCTAACTATCTTCATATACATAAATGTACTATTATGAACATTATTGAGTGCATGGTAAGTTGATTATTGATTATTTGTTGTTATACATCGTCTGTTCATCTATGTTTTAAAAAATATATGTACCTTTCTAAATAGGGCCTCATGGGAGATTAGCCTTAATTATTGTTTGCTAAATGAGTTGTACCCTCTAAAAATAAAGTATTATTAATATTATGATTATGATAATTAATTTATCAATACCATGATGCATGAATTCCATGCCATAACTTTCCGGTGCAAAATAGTGAGATCAGTGATTTTTTTCCAGTGAAATTTGGTCAAAAATAGTGAGATTTTTTCTCTGAATTAGTGAGAAATTTTTGAGACATCTAAAACAGAAAAATTACAGCATATAACATAGTTTTATATCATTTGTGTTGTTCTGAAGCCTCTTATTACTTTGTTGGAACCAAAATTGGAGATTTATTGATATTTTAAAGAATTTTAGGGTAGGATGTTTAGACTGGACATACGTACGGTCCAGATATAGAACTTTATAAACATGTACATTTAAAAGTAAAAAATATCACAATACTTCTATCAAAGATGTCACTGTTAACCCAGGTAAGGAAAAATATATCTCAAGATATGGGGATATTTAATCTCATTTGTTGAAAAACACTTCCAATATTTTTATATAGGTAATTGTGAATAAACTTGTTTTCTTGCGTGTACAGTAATGTTATTTTTTATTAACGCTTAATCCCATCCCAACGACGAGAAAATAAATTCAGTGTCAGTGTCCAGTTTCGATTTTATAGTCACGACTTACATATCCGTTTTAATAAACCATGTTTTCGAGTGTAATGAATCAACAGCACTGTTTAATGTTTATACCCACTGTCATCACATATTAATTAACAAGTAGCCCCCAGTGGATGGGTGATCCCCGATTAAATTAATTCACACATCGGTGAGTATGACACCAAGTCATGCACCGCTAAATCAGCCTGCCATTCACAACTTTCACACAAATGCTGCTAATTGGCCTGGCCAGTAATTATTATAAGTGGCTAGCCTGTGACTTTCAACCTTTCGGTGTGAACCCATGTAGTTATTGTTTATTGGCAAATTTTAGTGAATATATTCACTAAAATTTGCCAATCTTTGCTTCTTTTTAAATTTGTGAGACCGATTAAAATTTGTGAGAAATATGTCTTATGCTGTGAGGAATTTTTCTGAAGTAAATTTTATGAGCCTCACGCTTAAATCATTAGATATGGCATGTATGACCATGTATTACCAGTATATCGACAATTACACCTACCTGATTCTGTCACTGGTCCCACTGTATCCCCAGCGACTCTCTATCTGACAGAAGCGGGACACCACCTGCTCTTTGCCTGTCAGACAGCAGCGTGGCTTATCCAGGAAGGCTATTTGAGGTTTAGGGTTGACTGTGAAGTACAGAAATAGCTGTACTACTTCTCGATCTTCCAGTAGCCCCCCTTGAGCTGCACCTTGGGCAAATTCTTCCACACTCATCAGAGGAAATCTGATCAACCTCAAACTTCTCCCTAAAACAAGTTGTTGATTGTCGGGTGTAGGCGATATGTTTCTTCTAGCACATTCTGCCTCCCCCCACCGACATACAGCAGCAAACAGCTTGCATTCACGTATACCCAAGGTATCTCTCTCAAGCACTACACAAAGTGTGTTGTTGTCAATGTCTGTAAAGCCGTCTGCTACAAGTGCCTCCGATGTATTCTTGTCAATGGTCTCTAAACACAGCGCTGCTAATTGAGGCTCATCAAACAGTCTTGCTTGTGTCAGTAACATGAATGCATTGTCACTACTCAAGTTACGCTTCAGAAATTCAACACATGCCTTTTCCAGTGCAGGTACAGCATACTTTTTGGCGGTGTACAACGTTGTCATCACAGTATCAGAACAAATCTGTACTTCGTCGGAGTACAGAAATTTTAGTAAAGCTAGAAATGCACCCGGTTCTACATCCGGAATTTCAATAACGTCATCTTTGGTTGCCATAGGTCCATTAAATTGTGCATCAAAAACAGCACTACCAACTGAGAGGACAAATTTATGAGCAGGTATCTTCTGTTGATTAGGTGGTGTTCCAACCAAGAAATGAATGTCACTCATAATTTCTGTGTTAAATAGGTAAGCTAGTCTTTCTTTTACAGTTGTTTTTGTTGACTGCCAGTTGTACTGAGCATTACCATGTCCATGAGCAGTTCCGGGCAGTTTCTCATTATCCGAGAACGTGTATATTCCTGATGGATGTGTAACAGACAGAATAGCACCACTGCTGGTTGTAGTGGACAAAGAGGATTCACTTGTTGATTTTAAAAACTGGTTGTGTGCGACGTCTTCGTGATGAAAGCTAGTGGTGGAGCCATTTCCATTTCCAGAAGACAAGCTACTGGTGTCAGATGAGGGAGAAGAGGAGAGAGGTGAAGCATTCACAGAGGGCAAGTTTTGTTGTTGGGTTGTGACAGGTGATTGTGGATTTTTCTTGTTAGCAGTCTGCTGGTTCTGATTTGTACACAAGTTCTTAGCAGCCTCCTCTTGGTTCTTGCTAGCTATAGGTTCCTCATCTTTTCTATCCTTTCGTGGGGGTCGGTTGTTGTCCTCCATCATTCAGTTTCATTTGGAACTTATAAGGGATGGGGACATGAAGCAGACATTAACCTGGAACATATATAAAGGAACAAGATGTCATGTTGTACAAACAAAAATAACAATGACATGTGATCATCTTTAAAATGTGGTTTGCTCTTGCCCTTTCCTCTACGTTTGTATTCATGTCTTCTTGGACCATCCAGCAACAATGGTAACTCATATACGGTAACCAACAAGGCTGATTTACGATGAAAAAACCTGGAAAACAGGTGTAATTTTACCTTTATACTGTTCATTACATGTTCAGGTGATCATGATCTGACTTGACTTTTTCTGCTTAATCATGTTAGCTTCATGATTAGTTGTTATACGTACAATGGAAGTATATATAGATGACATTATTCTGGAAATTTTAAGTATTTTCCAAGTTTCATGTAGGTAGTACATTTTTTTATTATTTGCATTGTTCAAGGTTCTACTTACAGTGCATGCACTTAAATCCTGTGTTCAGACAAAAACAATGCAAGAACATTTAATTTTCAACAAACAGTTTCTTCAACTGACAATTAATGTCATATAGTTCACAACTGTATGTTCTTGACACATGTGTACCAAACTGCTTCCATCTCTTCTTATTTTGAGGTAAAATAGCAAATTTTATAAACTGTGTCATGATCATGAGCCTGTTGCTGGGCGATCAAATAATTTAAAGTGTTAGAAATCTAATCAATTTCAAAGGGAAATTTCAAAGGGACAAGATGATTCTTTCATAGATATCATATAGATCCATAAGAGGCATAAAGTATATCTCAACTATATATACCTGCAGGGCCGCTGTCGTTTATCACAATCCAAACGGTTGAACCACAGGTACTAATAAGCCTAGTCTGCCATACTTTTGTTTGTTTGTGTTTTACCTCTTCTAACAGCTATGGGCATTTAAAACCGTGCCGTGTGTGGTGGAGGAAAATGAAAGTCAGAGTTCCAAGAGAAAAACCACAGACCCATGGCCAGTGCTTGTCCCACGTAGGCCTCAAACTCACGACCCAGTGGTGGAGGGCTAATGGTAGCAGAATGTCAGACGTCTTAACCAGTTGGCCACTGCGATTTTATTATAGGTGTATTAATTCATTGACAGACGAGGCTAGTACCTGTGGTTGAACCAGAGTTATTTGTTTAGAAATAAGGTCAGACCTACATATATAATCTGAGTGTGCTTTCAGGCGATCATTGATTATACCAGGAAGTATTACATTTAAAAACAAACAGGTTGAACCGAATAAACAAAAAGATCCCTGGTCCTCTAGATCTACCAGCACAAGATACACAGGTCCAGTACACTCTGCCGATTGAGCTATATAGCTGTAAAGACCTATAATAGCTCTATTGACATGTCTGAAATAGGTCTTTTGAGCTATTTTATAGTGATTTTCTTTCTAAGGAAAACAAAACAAAGTCGCATTTAAAAGAAGATTGTATCATTAGGTTGATAACAAAAGACATTAAATATAAGTATTCTTTTTAAAAAATAATGATGTAAAAAAAATCGGAAATTTTACATTTATGAAAAATGAAAATAAACATCTAACTGTATGCTCTTTGTAGTCAACATTACCATAAACCTTATTGTTTTATGCGACTTTGCTTTAATTTAATGAAATTTGAAATCTGAGAAAATATAGCTCAATAAAGCTATAATTAATAGGTGTATACAGTATAGCTATATAGGTCTTTATAGCTAGCCTATATAGCTCAATCGGCAGAGTGTACTGGACCTGATACACTGTATGGAAGAAGTGCTGAGATCTAAGCAGTTCTGTTTTTTTTAATATTTTAGTTTTGAAGGACGACATTGATGTTGAAGACGTAATTTGCTATTGTTTGTTAACGTCTGTGTGTAGTAGCCAGTGACGTCAAGTTTAACAAGGTGTTTTTTTTACTCTTTTTTTAGGGCGGATCGTCTAGAAAACAGCTCTACATTTATCAAAATTTCCAAAGCATCGTTCCCCGTTGAAACGTTAATGTATAATTCCTTACCTTGACTACATGCTTATGGTTAAGATATCAATATCGAAATTAAACAAGTCGGCAACTCTAGAACTTCATCGCAGATATCTTCAGAGCCAGAAATAACAACAATGGTAGAGAAAAGGAAGTGGATTGCTCGCGACTAAGCATGCGCGATGCGCTAGAGGTTATTACAGGAAGTAAATAAACAGAGGCCTTGCACAACATGAGTAAAACATCATTCCAACGTGAAAATCCGGCAAAGGCAGATCTCTAAAACCTTGCGTTAGCTACAAAGATGTCTTCAAGACAGAAGAAATTCGAAGGTGACATCAAAACTGCAATTCAACTGATTGAAGAAGAACATTGGCCAGTTCACAGTAAGTGAAAGTAAAGTTGAGCTGAAGTTTGGAATCATCAGCTTGGTTGCTCGAATGATCCTCTCCAAAAACAACTGACAAGAGTAGAATATGGATACTTAATTTGTTTATAAAATCAATTTATTTTCTTATAGCTATGTTGGCATTGACTCGCAAAACTGCCAATATGATCATGTCTAAATATAGATTAAGTTTTTTTTTCTTCTGAGAAAATAGGCATGTTTTAGTTTTATTTTCTGTTTACTGTAACATAAATCGATAGATAAAGCGCATCCGTTTAAGAAATGTTTGAAGTCTTCTGGGGGCATTTCGTTTTACCACAAACAATCTAATCCTCTTGTAATATATATGGAGGAAGTGGAACGCAACGGCCGGACAGGGATTCAAACCAAGGATCCTGCAAACTCTAGACAGATCAAACTCTACCTATAAAGCTACTTTGTCGCTGATGATCATCCCAGTCCAGTTCCATTATATTCCTCCCTTCTTTATATAAATCTTCACTATAAGGAAACTATATTTACACACATTCGGGTATTCCCTTGCTAATTTAAGTAATTACAAAGTTCTTGAAATAAAATTAAGGCCGGGTTAATGGCAGGCTGGCTGATTTTGTGACAAAATAAAGAGCCATGTGCACGTGGTGGCCATGCAAAACCAGATTTGAACCCAGGCCAGGATCCTGCAATCTCTAGAAAGGCACTCTACTAATTGAGCTACCTTATGTCGCCAACAATAGACCCAGTCCAATTCCGCACCATTCACATCTACAAATTAATTTTAATCCTGAACAAAGCTTGCAAGCACTATGAAGCACTGATCAATATCCTGAACCACTAACTACAATTATATATATATAGCCCAGGCCTAGGGTTGGCCCCATGACCAGTAGTGCAGCCTCGACTCCTGGCTGGTCCCATGGCCAGTCACTGGATCATCAAGGGGATTATCTTATGACGTGATTCATGATCACCAGATTGACATTTACAGATGCATGCATGTATGCATTAGTTTTATGATCATTCATGTGTGTGTAGGAGAAATACAACTTTGATCGCTGGACTTACCCACAAGCATGATGAGCATGGAACATCGCCATGCCATGTTTTCCAGCTGATGTCATGTATATGCCCATTTTAATTACTGTACACTGCCTTTTTTCTTACAGATTTTGAAACAGCAGGAACATCCCTCACATTCACGCTGAATAAGAATGATGATTTGCGTGAATTTTCCATTGTAACATCAGATGAATACCCAGGTAAGTATTGCAATGTATATTTATGCACTTTAACTCATTCACCCCTGAAGACACATTCAAACTCTTCCAATTCAAAGGTTGGAATTTTTCATGTTGAAATTTCAGTAATGAATGGGTTAATTAAGCTTGACACATCTCTCCTACTTTGTACAGGTACCCTGATATAGTTTATCAGGTATACGTATATCTTTAAAATTTGTACCTTAATTAACATACGATACCTGTGCCAATTTTTCACTAAATCCACAAATATCCTGTCCCTTTCAACTCGACTGCATCATGTTTATTTACATTTTATGTACTGCATGACCCTAAAGTTTTAATCATGCATTTATCATTTTTCTTCTTAATTATGCTTCCAACTGTTTTCTGATCGAAACAGTCCTATACTGAATTTAAACAGATCCAGACTTTATCTTAAAGAGCGCACCTGCAAACGCAGTCATGAATCGAATATCAAAATATGTCACTGTCATTGTCTTTGGTGATATGATTTACAAGATGTAAAAGGATGTTTTTTTTAAAATTAAATCTTGATAAGAAGGTCTAGAGTTTTTGTTCAATAATTTTGTTATATAAGTGAACAGCCAACTGAGACTCATATTATCATATTGCTTCAGATTTTTCTGTTGACTTTTCATAAAGTTATTGGTAAAAAACTGTTTTACAAGAGAGTAGAATAAAATACATCATATTTACATGCACAAAAAGCCCATAACTCTTTTATAATATGCATCAAAAATAAAATTAAAAAACCCATGAAGGTTCTGATTTTGTTACGAGATCCTCTGTTTAAAATTTAGCCAGGGTTGAATCAACAGTTCAGCATCGATTAGCATGGAGGACGGCAATGCATGTTCAGTGGGCTATTCAAATCACCCTGTGTCCGTGGTCCGTCGTCTGTCCTTAAACAATTCTTGGTATCGGTATTTCTCATGAAGTGCCAGAGGGATCTTTCTCAAATTTTATATGTAGGTTCCACTTGGTCCTTAGCTGTGCAGTGCAACATTTGAGGCTGATCGGATAAACAACATAGCCGACAGGCAGCCATCTTGGATTTTGATAGTGAAAGTTTGTTATCGCTATTTCTCAAGAAGCACCAGAGGGATCTTTCTCAAATTTTATACGTAGGTTCCCCTTAGTCCATAGCTGTGCAGGGCAACTTTTGAGACTGATCGGATAAACAACATGGCCGACAGGCAGCCATCTTGGATTTTGATAGTGAAAGTTTGTTATCGATATTTCTCAAGAAGTACCAGAGGGATCTTTCTTAAATTTTAAATGTAGGTTCCCCTTGATGCCTCATTGTGCATGTTATATTTTGAGACTGATCATAAAAACAAAATGGATTAAAAGAAGAACTAAACAGATCTTTCTCATATTGCAATGATCAATTCTATTTCTTTCACATTAAGTACTTTACTAGTAAATTTGTGAAATGACAAACTCACCTTGAAGGCTGACTTTCATACACATTAGCATTAAGTTTAGATCAAAAGTTACCTCAAGGTGCATTTACTGTTAACATGACTCAATCAAACAGATAAGAGGAAAGAAGAGAAAAGATCGAACTGACAAAGAACTAATGAAGATGGTACAAATGTGGGCGCCAAGATCCCTCTGGGATCTCTTTTTTGTGTTAGATTTTGGAAATTTTAAAATGTAACGGAGGCGAAGCATTCGCCATCAGCCATCTTTTGTTTTTGTCTGACAGATAGGTTCCGGTCTAACTGCGCATGCACTATGACAGTTTGCAGGTAATTTCCATATCAGCTTTATTTAGAAGTCCATATTCACCAGATAACCAGTCTGCATGGAATTTTGAGGACTGGTCATGTGTATATAGGATACGGCCGATATGATGGCAAGAAATTTTCAAGCATATAATGAATTAAATTTACTTTAACTAAAATACTATATATTGTATTATTACGGTACAAAATCATAAGTGTGATTTTGGTCATTAGAGAAATGTTACATAATTGCTATATATAGCTGCTGTTATTTTACGCAAAATTAAATATGTCTTTTTATTCTTTTCCAGAAAACACATTAGTCTACAGAGATGGTGATTTTAACAATCCTGTTATTAGTAATGATGCTATACCTACTATTATTTCTACTTGTGTCAAAAATGATGGTATGTATTCGTGGTTAAATTTTTATCTAAAGTTGTGTAATGTATATAAACGTACCGTAAAAGTCTTAGCAGAGGGGATATTAACCTTTTTCCTTTTCTGACTGTCTGTCAGTATTTCTGACTGTTCAACATCTTGTTAAGACTTTTAAATTTAGTTCTATTACCCCGGTATTCGAATAGAAGTCCAACAGATGCAGTCATCAAATTTCATATACATGTAGGTGGACATGTCTTGAGGATCTTTATACCAGTAAACGTATATCAAATACAGGTCACTATGACCTATATTTTCTGCTTCACTGATTTTGGTTAGCTTTGCACTAAGACTCGTTTCATCAGTTAACCTCTGTGTTTAATTATATAGCTCCATTTTCATCAAAGTTTGAATAATGACATATGTTGTTTTACAAATGTTGCTTGTCAGAAAAAAATATTAATCATGACTTCAGCCAAGCGTCCTTATATAAAATCTTAAATCAGATGATCAGACTTGCTTGAACAAAGATCAAATGATAAAATAAAATTTCTGAATTCATTGCATTTGGTTGTATGCAGGCACAGCGCATAGTACACTTCAGACCACGTTGGTTCAGCGCACCATCAGTATGGAATCAGAGGCATCAAATTACGAGGACGCCAATTCCAACCTTGGGGACTCTGATAACGACAACCAGGACGAGGATATGGATGATTATTACAATGACGAGGTGAGATGACGACAAACTATACACCTGGGTCGGGGCAATGTTATCCACAGTTAAACCTGATGATTCGTGAAGGATTTCAGGAGATTTTATAAATCAGATGTTGATTTCCAGTGTATTTCTTGTTCTATTCAGGAGCCTTGTCGCCCTGCACAGTGTCTTTTCCTGTATACACTATAGCCTCCCCTTAACTTTCGTTTGGATAACTGTATCACTGTTGGGCAAAGACACCTGTGTTAACCAGGTAGCACAATCAGTTAGAGCAATATTATATCAACCTGAAGTTCAGGGTTCAAATCCGGGTCAAGCCCCACTCATTGTTTTGTTCACTCTAAACACTGTTGTTGATTATATTTTGTTTATATTAATCGTTATTATTCTCAAAAAATCCCGCAACGTATGATTTTCTTTTCAGAAATGATTTATCAAAGCTATATATAGTCATGCCAGAAAAAACCCAGTTTTTAACACTTCATCACATTTTTTGGCAATGGTACGAAGATCCTTAAAGAATATATAGTGTTTATAATCACATAACTGACTACAATCACAAAATCACCATATAATGGAATATTAATATGATATCTCGTTTGTAGTATATGTATAGATGGTTATGTTTTAGTTTCACAGTGAACCAAGTGATAAGGCTATAATTATAATTATACTGTTCCTGTGGTTACCTCATTCTGGAAATCACGTTCATATCACATTTTTTATTGGTAAACATATTTAATTGCCATTATAATTAGCAATGGGATTGGGCACAGGTTGAACAACTTAACCATATAGCCCTAATTTCCCTCACATCACATTTTGATTATCCATATATAATATGAAGTCTTTCGAAACCATTATGTATTCCGTCTTTGCGTATTGCAGAGTTGTCTTCTCTTGAGAGCAGGTATTGATTGTTACGTCATTGGTTTGTGTGAGAAAATTACGTCATTTTCTCAAAAATTGATGACGTTACTCTCACAAACCAATGACGTAACAATCAATACCTGCTCTCAAGAGAAGATAACTCTGCAATACGCAAAGACGGAATTTGATGTTGGGCCCTTCATTCAGTGTTACTGACAGCTTTAACTAAGAATCACTTGACAATATTTGTCCTACAATACATTGTATATCAGTAAAGGTTCTATATTTTTCAGCCCGGAAAATAATTTCTCAATTATGATAAGACATTGCCTGCTGAAAATTGTCGGCATTGATCAGAACCAAAATATAATTATGTCGGAATGATAACAAGCAGTTTTGCATTTAGGACAGGTGAGCCCTTTGAAAATAACTGAAATTAACCTATAAGTATTAGCAAGTTTACTGTACACATGTTTTGAGATGGTCATTCTCTACTGCCTATTTTGAAGATTCATCTGTACCTACACAGATAAAACCAATGGCCCTGGTACAGCTTTAACAACCCACATACCTTGGTAAATGAATTATATATAATTTCTATCTTTTATTTAGAAATTTTGAATTCATTTCAATAAAAAAAGCATGTGTAAGAAATACAGAAAAATATCCATTGGAATTTGCCTTCAAACTGAGTACTTGTATTTGTACAGGAAATGTCGTTGGAGGTCGGCATTAATCCAGTATTAGACACTGACATGGAGAAGCTGATCAATATCCACGGGGAAGATGTGCTGAGTTACAGGTAGTTAACAGTGATATACATACCCAGTATGATTTGGTTCTTATTTAGAGTACCTTTCTGCTATGTATTTTGAGTTTGGTTGATTAGGAATGGGATTAGAGAGTTGTTGTCATATACTCCTTAAAGGAGTGAGTAAAGTGAACACTACTTTAAGCTGAGAAAAATCACTCTTGTCGCAATTTTATTATACTCTTCACGACAAAGTTGGGGGTGGGAGGGTATACTGGAATCAGCTTGTCCGTCGTCCGTAGATAATTTTTTTCTATCTATGCATTCGCTCATTTTTCGATAGATTTCTGCAAAAAGGATAGTGACAGTACCATATATGTTTGTGCCCCCTGAAATAATTTTGCATTTAGGAACTTTTTAAGAGAGTTATGCCCCTTTATGTTAAAACAATTGACAAAGCAAGGTCCGGCTATCCATTAGCTGATTTTCCAATAGGTTTCTTTGAAACTTTTTGTGTAGTGACAGAATCATATGAAGTTGTGCCATTTTAAAAAAGAGTTGCCTTTCAGACCTTTTTAAGAGAGTTATTCCCACTTGGCGTTTCCACATTGTTTTACTATAATATCCTGATCACAGTCATCTCTATAATTTGAATAAGCCTAGAAACTGAAGCTTTTATGTGACTGTGATCACAGTTCCTCTTTTTATAGCAAGGAAATGGCGGATAAATGTGCTCTCGACAAGAGAGATAAAATTGATTGTTCAGTTAGCCCACCCCAAAAAATAAAAAAGCAATGATTTGTCATAAACAAAGGGAAAAGGCTACAGTGAGTTAAATTTATTAGATGTTAACGCAGGGTAAGTTAAGATTCCTATGTCACATGTGCAGTACCATGAATAACCACTGTTGTCTCAAAAACAGTGTTGCCGAGTCATTGTTTTGAACTTAAGCTTGTAGAATGAGAAATAAGGTGAGCAGGGATGTTGGCCAATTCAAAATGATGTCCAATTCAAAATGATGTAGTGACACTCCTGAATAACGCACGCCAACAGACTTTCACCAACATGCCCTGTCTCCTGCATACACACACGCAAGCACACATACACTACACACATGGCGGCACATCCTTAAATGACCTTAGCTGTTAAAAGGACGTTAAACAAAACTAAACCAAACCAAACCAAATCCCTCTGAATTTACAACAATGCACGCAGCATAATGAAAATGCATGTACAATGTGTGTGATAATTTCTGAGTTTTCAGTCATCAAGGTGTGACAGAAGAATCATAATTATGTTTACGTTTTTGACTATCTGTATATTCTTAACTGTCAATGTCCACTAATCTGTATTTCTTTATACATCTGAAAGGTTATTGGATTCCATTGATGAAATTGACGTAGAACTAAACATTAAGTTAGCAGGATTTATAGCGGTAAGTCAGCTTTTAATAGATTGATATTCGCTTGCTTCAAAGATTTAAAATTTATTTATATCTCCTGCTTTAGAATGAAATGATATTGGTTAAGTCCAATTTAATTATTTGATATGAAACAGACCCATTATTTTTAGTTTTTAATGAAATATAATCAAAAAGTAGGATTGATAAAGACAATCTGTATATTCTAAATCTCATGAGAAAAAATGAAAATATGGAAAACATAACGAAAACTAATGGTTTGTAAACAAGATAGTGCACAAATGAAAATAGTGAACCTTGTATTGGTGAAACTCTGCCAGAGGTTGACCATGAACAAGCAATGATAAATTAATGTATTGGCAGAAAAAAACACCTAGAAAAAGTGAAAATATAATATTTATCTAGAAAAGCCAGTTCTCTGTCCCCTTGTTGAGTTTACATCGGGGTAACATTTTCGATTCTACATGTATCAATGTCTGAAATAGGAATTGTACCATCATATATATAATATTAATCCTAACCTTGGTATCGTTTCATCCTTACAGCAAGTTAAACAGAAATGATCAGTTTTTCCTTTAGGCCGGTAATAATAACAGAAATAATTTAATGATGTTCTTTTTTTTCTTAGAAAGAGATAGCTGAGGCCTGGAGACTGAACAGTGAAGAGCCGTTAGTTGTCCGAATACACCTATCGTTGACATCATACCTGGACACCCCAAGTAAGTTGGACACCTGTACCTTAATTATCACATATGTTGGACCATATTTGTTTTAGTTTTCATGAAAACTTACAACCTATGAAATATTTATCAAACTCACCTGTCTTTATGAATTGCGAACTTCATTTATTTTACAACAATAATGAAACAATTTTTAACTTATATTACTAGTAAGCACTTTTTTTGGCCTGGATGAAAGCCTGCAGGGGGCCTTAAACCCTTTTGGATTGGCATTATAACCCAATGCCTTTTCCTGTCTAATTTGGGAATTGAACCTCAACCATCTTACTGGAAGACAAGAGCACTAAATATCCAGTGCACCAACTGACTTTCTTCACATCTGTCTTTCAAATTGGGGCCATAGTCGCCAAGTGGTTGATCGCTGTGTCTGACTGTCTTCGATCACTAGCCCTCAGCAACTGGGTCGCGGGTTCGAGGTCTATGTAGGGCAGTAGTCAGGTACTGGTGGCAGGTCAGCGTTTTTTCTCCGGGTACTCTGGCTTTCATCGTCCACCAATATCTGCCATTTCCTAAATGACCATAGCTGTTAATAGGACGTAAAACACAGACAAATCAAATAAAGTCTTCCAAGTTATCAATAGTGTCATGCTTTTACATTTACTTGTACAAAATGTATATACTTTTCAGACCCACCCAAAGTAGAAGCTTTCCAGCCATCAAAGAAAGAGAAGTGTGGAGTGGGAAGCCAGATGAGGAAGTAAGTCTTTGTCACTTCATCATAAGGCCACTTTATATAAACAAAGGTTCCTCAAGCAGTAGTGATTGGTTGTAAGGTATACCTCCAGCCTTTATTGAGTATCTTTCTGAAATTTTAAAACTGACTGTTGAGAGAGAGATGAACATAAAAACCAACCATTAGTGCACTGTTTCTCCATAAATATCTAAATATGATATAGTGAAACCATTTTCTTTTCATTTGCAAATCTGGGCCTAATACGATTCCATAAAATTAAAACATGTTTAGGGATTCAAAATGAATATCTAAAGACAAGAAACACAAGAATATTTGTTCATATTCAGGTATTTCTCAAAAATCCTATTTTGAAAAGTTAATGACTTGTTAGCTTTGCAGGGGTGTCCGATTCATATTTTGACTACTAGCTAGCCACAAGCACATTCAGAAACGTTCTTCTTCCCAACCTTTATTTTCGCTGTACATGTAAATATAGGAAATGTTCACTATCATCGACATAGAATCTGCTAATTACCCTGGGCTATTGATGAAAAATTGAGCCCTGCTTTCACTCTCCAATCACGATGGAATTAATCATATTACTGTTTCTGACAGCTCTTTGATTTCTTTGAAGCGGTCTGTATAGATTGGTTTATTACTGAGAACAATGGAGGATTTTATAACTGTTTTGATTGTAATTACAGAATCCTAGAATCTTTTCTGTCGGAGAATTGGCCAAAAACCAGTAATGACCAGTTACAAGCCGTTCACAACTTTCAGGAGAGGACGATGGCCATGTCCTCAATGGAGACATCCCAATCCAGGTAAGTTATCCTGGTAACGTTTCCTGGGATACTGCCATTTGTGGGAGTGAACTTCAGACCACTTATTCTTTTACCCTGGACAGTTCTATCCACACTTTTCCTGATGTGAGATATCCTTTTCTTCCATACTAGACAGAGATATCCGCATTTCCGGCGGTGCTGGAAAATTCTATCTGACCCACGTGTCTATATTACACGCGCGGACTGGTGGGGGAATTATAGTGACCTTTCGGGGTCATGCCATTGTTTGTGACGTTTTTTATGACAATTTGGGGTCAGTCAGGGTGATTGACGTCATTAACAATTTCCATTCGAAGAATAGGGGGGCTATAGCGGTACCCACGGCATTGCCGTCGGCATCCCACTTGGTTAAAGATTTTGGGCAAGCTGTGTTCTGGTGTTTAACTCAGTTTTTAAATAATTTTACATTGTAATATGGTTACAGCAATCGCTTGGAGGTTCCTTAGCAACAAATTGGACCATATTCAATTTGCTTATTATTGGTCCGAAACCCAATTTTTGGTCCTGAGCCTTCAATTGGGAAAACGTTCTTTTAATCCTGAGGATTAACATTTGTGTAAGGTCCCCACAAAGGAAAAATAAATCTAATAATTTTAAGATACCTGCCTTTAGCTGGATGTTATCTGCATATGTATAAAACACTATACATATCTTGAGAGACACAGTTGTGAGTATATATATGTACATTCATTCCTAACTCACCTTGTTGATGCCATAATGTTCACTCCCTATGTTAACAAAGTGATGCCTAGTTGTTTACATGTCTACAAAAATAATGTTTATGTCAACATGTCGACTCCATATGTTAATATTTTGACTTCCTGTTCCATGTTGCAGCACTACTCTGTCCTCCGCCCCCATCACAGTCGACGACAAAGACCTGGCCAGTATCATGGAGATGGGATTCTCCGCTGAGCAGGCGAGGAATGCTCTCATACTGAACCGGGGAGACATCCTTAAAGCTACAAATGATTTGTTTATTAATTCTGAAGTGTAAGTTTTATTAGGTCACCTGAGACAAAGTCTCAAGTGACCTATTGCGATCGCCTTTTGTCCGCCGTCCTCCGTCGTGCGTCGTCCTTCGTGCGTCCGTAAACAATTTACATTTTCGACTTTTTCTCAAAAACCCCTGAACCAATTTCAATGAAATTTTGCAGGGACCTTCCATGGACAAAGGTCAACAAAAATCGTGGCGGTTTAGTCCCAAGCCCCCAGGGGCCTGAGGGGCGGGGCCAAAAAGGGTCAAATTAACTAAAATTTCAAAAATCTTCTTCTCCAAAACCCCCAAACGAATTTCAATGAAATTTTGCAGGGACCTTCCATGGACAAAGGTCAACAAAAATAGGGGCTGGTTTAGTCCCAAGCCCCCAGGGGCCTGA